CTATGCCCATCAGGGCATATGTCAAGTCCCAGCACCGCTCCAGGCAGCTCCAACTTGTACCTGTGTGATGGGATAAATGGTGGGCTGGAGCCTAGAGGGGTGGCACTGGACCTGGGGCAGGTGCCAGAAGCAGTGGAGGACCTCCTACCAGGACTAGGTGGGGGCCTGCTGTGGGTTGGTGGGTGACTGCCAGGGGGCCTGTGGGGCTAGGGCTGGGGTCAGGCAGTGGCAGGCATAAATGAGACCACCAGGCCCAGGAAAGTGTCTAGGGTCTGGTGGTCATCATCTGTGGCCTCCATAGTTTGGCCCAGGATGTTATTTTGGGCCCACAGGACCTGCATGTGCTCCTGACTCTAGGACTAGGGCCAGGACCTCGGCCCAGAACTTGCACTCTGCTTAGTCCCGTGCCTCCTCCTGGGTGGTCTCCTGGGCAATATCCTGTGCCCCCCACCTCTCCTGGCAGGCAAGGTCATCCTCCCACCAGGTCTGAGCATGCTCCTCCCATTCCCTGGCCACCAGCACCAGCTGCTGGAAGTGGAGGGCTCTATGTCATGTGCACTTCTGGCACAGCTGAGGTATCTGCAGGGCTCCAGCACTGGGAAGTGGTGTTCCTGAGCCCACATCCTCGCTTATCCCTGCAGCCTCTCCTCCATGTCCAAATGCTGGCCCTGCAGAGGCAAGAAATAGAAGACTTTTGTAAGAGTTCGCAACATTTGAGAGATAAGTTGCTCTGTGTTGGGGCCATGCAGTGTCCGGTCTCAAATCAGGGGTTGGCCATGCACGAGTGCACGAGGGACCATGGTAAGTCAGGCAGGCAGCCCTGGCCCAGGCGGCTACCAGCTGAACCCCCATCCTCACATGGTTCCCTGGGGCCAGTGGCCCACTGGGTGCTGGCCGCAGGCAGCCTGCCTCCTCCACCCCTTTCTAGGGTGGGACAGGCCAGGCTTCTGGCAGCACCTGCTCCTTTGGCTTCAGACCCCGCTCCATTCCCTTTCCCCCTACAGACCAACCGGTCTGCTGCACTGCTGCCCAGCCCATGGCACCCAGACTCGGGGCTCACTGGTTCCCAGCCAACAGGAGCGAGGAGCTGGCCATGCCCCCACCCCCCCTGCAGAGGGCCTCTCTGGGGAGGCACCCTGGGGCCAGGCCCCCACTGCTCCTCAAGTGTGCCCCTGCTGCATGTGCCCGAGGTGGAGTGTGATGAGCTCTTTGTGCAGGCTGAGGCATGCCCAACCCACTACACCCTGCTGCTACCAATCCTCCTGGTGCCCTGGGCACACCTTCACAACTGGCATGGGAGCCTGAGCTACAATGGTGTAGGTGGCAAGCCCAGGCTGCCCTGCAACCTCCGCCACTGTCTGGAGGGCTACTTGTGGCAGCACTACATGTCCCTGCCCCCCACTGCTGAGGAGGACATCACTGCTGATATTAACACCTTCCTCAATGTGTGAGAAGCCCATGACCACCCAGCTGTGGGGGTACAGACCGCTCAATAAAGTTTTGTACTGTGTCCCACCTCTCTGTGTGCTGTGGCAGAGAACCCGGGGCCAGGGGAGCGCAGATAGACTGGGTGGGGAGGGGGGGCAGGGGCAGTGGCAGGGGTGGGGGGTGAAGTGAGGAGGGCCTTTCCCCCCTAGTGTGGGTCTTACCATGTGTCCAGGGCTGGCAAGGCTGGTGGCTTGGCATGGTTCTCCCTGTTGGTGATGGCATACAGCAGCACCTGGTATCCTGGGCCCATGGTGCACAGCATGCAGGCACCCAGTCAGGGCTCCCCACCAGGGAGGAGCTGGTGCTGGTGACAGACAGCAGTGTCATGGCCCACTGTTCCTCAAGGCATGGTCTTGGGCTGCGGAGCTAGCAAGGTAGCCACTGGTCAGGGATCCCTGAGCTCCTAGTGGACTGAGCAGTCAAGGGAGCTGGGCATGGTGGGACACTGAATGCCCAAGTGTTCCTCCTTCAGCAATGTGTCACCAGAGGGCTCAGGGTGGGTGGGGGCTTGGGCAGCCCACCTGTGCTGGTGTAAATCTCTGTGCTGGGCCTGGGTCCCAGGGCACCAAAATATTGGTCAGCTGCCACATCAAGAGCATGGTCTTATGGGAACAACCAGACTGACAGTTGTGGTCAGTCACAGCCACCCACTGTGCCCACAAGGCCTTGATCTTGATGCAGCATTACCACACCAACCAGGAGTGCCCACACTCCTGCATCCCACCCAACAGGGCCTCATAGATGTAGGTGTTCAAGTGCCCACTCCACTCAAACTGCTTCTGCACCTCTGCATTGCCCAAGAGTGCCACGAGGTCACCAACCTTTTCCTGGCTCCAGTTGGGGTCCCAGGTGTGTGCACACAGGTGGTGGCAGACTTAGACAGGGAGGATGAGGTCATGCTGCTGCGTCCTGTGCCAGCTCTCTGGGTCCCCATGCAGCTGTCCCTCTGTTGTCAGCCCTGGGCAGCTACCAGCAGTGCCCAGCACAGGGGCATGGCAAGGAACTGGCAGCTGTGCAGCAGAGGCTATGCCCCGCAGCAGCTGCAGGGCAGGCTGCTGGAAGTGTGCAGCAGGCAGGTACTGCTGGCCCTGATGCACAGAGCTGGCTGCAGGTGGCCCTGGGGGCTGGCAAGCCTGGACAGAGGCTGCAGCAGGCTTCTGGCCCTGACATCAGTGTCCTGGCAGCCCCGTGGCTGGGCAGGGCCAGGCAGCACTGCTGAGGTCCTGGGAAGCAGGCACACCAGGGCTGTGGCCTGCCCACGGGCACACTCAGGGCCTGCAGTGTTCTCAGGCTCCCTGGTCTGTGTGTCCCATGGCACAACATGTCCACAGGGTGTTATAGCCTGCAGCTAGGGGCTGCCATAGAGGCAGCCTAGTCCTTGTGCAAGAGAGGCTCCTAGTCCCTAGTGGCTGGGCAGACCTGGCAGCAAATTTGCTGCCGGGTCATGTCTACACATGCTTTAACTGTGTACTTACTAATCATGCTTAAATTTGCTATCTACATTTGCAGGTAGCAAATTTAATCATGATTAGCTACTTTTACTGCACAGTAAGGGCACACACATGTAGATGCTCGACTTTACTGCACAGTAAACCAAGCTACTGTGCAGTGGTGCATCTCATGTAGATGCGCCCATACAGAGTACTGAGCACAGGTAGCAGTTGGGAGAATATTCTCCTTCCACCTATTAGATGGAGTAGAGGGCACATCAGCCCCACAACCTGAGCTCCAAGAAATGGCTTGACTTCATTGGTTGGTAGCATAAATGACCATTCCCATGAACACAAGAAGCTCATGTTCTTATTCTGTTTGGCTGATTCATTTGTGTCACTGTTATGATTGGAAAGAGGCAGTTATGAAATGACATTATTACACTTCCTGTAGACTGCTGCTTCATGTGGACCCAGCTAAGGTTTCTCAATGCTAGAAAAAATATTTGGGTGTGTTTCACAGCTTGCTGAGTTCCACTTTTGGTTTTTTCTTCAAATGAAAATAATATCTGCTAATATTCTCCCGTCAAATCGCTTCTCCCAGTCCCCTTCAGTCTCCTTTTTTTGTTGGCAGATTCAGCGCCAGATTAAGAGCTGGCAATTAAAAATCCAAATCCATCTCCATGCCCAAATGCAGTGAAAAAATGTCCTGTGTACAGTGTGATCCATGTGCCTAATCATGGATCCTTAACTTCTTTTCTAACAAGGTTAATGAGATTCATGATGACAACTAAGCTCTGTGCATGTGTTTAGCATGTTCCAGCACCCTGTTCAGGCACTTATGAACTAGGATAAGCCACAGAAATCATTCACTTCCCCAGTAAACCTATGACACAGTCAAGGATACAAACAAAGTCTCCCAAAATCCAAAATGTGTGTTAACTATAAGATCATTTTTTCTCCCAGAATGAGGCAGATCCTTGTCTTGTTCAGTTCCCTCCAAAGATAGTGGGGGTTATCTGCAGAGTAAATCCATTTTGTCTGGAGGTGGTACCCTCACACATACTGCACTACCCTGCCAAGGCTCACTCATAACTGCAAGTGTCCATGGACTAATTAGTATTGCTAGAAGTACTAGTGGCAGGAACAGTTAGTAGTATCACGCAGATGAACCTACACTGCTTCTAATTCAGGAGCTAACTTATGTGATGTGATGCAAAGCTGACTCCCTGGGCAGCCAGGATAGGGACTGTGTGGCAGGGGGAGTTGGATGGAAGAGGAAAAGTTAGTTTATGTGTCTCAGTGAGATGGACTCTGCTCCAAAAGGCAGCAGGTCTTGGGTTCTACCTTGTTTCCAATAGGGCAGTATCTTTCCTGCTGCATTGCTCTCCATCCATTTTCCTATGCATATTAAATGCATAGAGAAATGATTCAGCTTCAAAAGGAGATCTGGAAAGGAACCTGGATAATAGCTAACCTGTGTCCTTGTGGTTAGAGCACTGTGCTAGGAAGTCAAAAATGCATATTTAAACCCCTATGGGTGATGGGGACCTAGAATTCAGGTCTCCAATTTCCTGGGCAGACACCATAAGCGTGCAGCTATGGAGGGCTAAGACATGGTAGGGCCCTCCTCCTGTATCTTGCACCCTCTAGTTTGGGTCAGGGGAGGGCAGGGGGAGTGGAACAGCTTCTAGCTATCCCCAAGTGAAACTGGCGTAGAAGTGCCTGGGAGGTAAGAGGCTCAATATCACTAGAGACTCCAGGGTTCAGCTATGTTTTTTGGTTTTACATTTTGCAGGAGGGATGTAGTGCAATATTTTAGGGGTGCAGCATCAGCTGATAGGCAATGTCAGGTGATCACAGAGCAGGCTGTGCAAAGAAATTGTGCCCCATAAGGGGTTGCAGACAGCAATGGTTCAAACAGATGACCTGTGCACCTGGGAAGTGAGTGCAACAGGACCTCTTCAGGGAAGGTCAGTCAGGGGAGGGCCAAGGGTTGCTCTTAGGCAAGCACAATGTTTACCCAGTTAAGGAGGGTAACACCATCCATCCTGAATGAGGAACCCAAAATGGGGATCTTACCTCATAAATATAATCAAAGAGCTCTAGAATGGTCAGGATACTAGCACCAATAAATAGTCCCATCTGACCTCCAATGTCACCTAGGAGAAAGAAAACAGCTCATTTTACTTGCATGCTGTCAGAGAAATTTGCTCAGGTGGTGCAGGGTTGTAAATATTAGTTATGTCTTTATCTGGCATTTTCTGAGGAGTTCTGTTCTATTCATAGCCCTTCTATTATGGTCAAGAACAAAATCACAAAAGATACAATGCCTGAACTTCCACATCACCCTCCATCAAGATTTCCCCTCAGGCTGACATGCTTGTGGAGTGATATTATTACCTGTGCTGCTGACATCATGGGCAGAACTTCTCCCTGAATTAACTTTGGCCAGCAGGTATTTTCAGCCTCAGAGCATTGTTGTGACAAACAAAAAGGCCATATCACCCCAACCATCACATGTGATGAATGATCACATTCATAGTGGTCAGCAGAGGAACCCACTTATTTTCAAACATTTATTTGAAAATAGCCAGGAATGAAGGAAGGAAAAAAAATGATGAAAAATAAGATCTCCAGTGAATCACCAACTAGATTTCAAAGTTTGTTCCCCATGATGTAGCCCAGGAGAGGCAGCATAGAAATCATGCCTGCCCATGCCCTCTGAAACAGCCAAGGCAGAGCACAGAGAAATACAATGCATGCTGTTAACAGATAGGAGAAGCCAGAGGCCTAACAAGCAGGGTTTGCATCCCAGGCAAGCCCTGAAGGTAAGTGAAGGAGGGGGAGGCGCCTCTGAGCACTGGAAGGGATACAGTCCTGAGAGCAGGGGAGAGAAGGGCGGGGAAGTGTCTTACCTATTTAGGGACTCAAAAACAATCTCTGGCTGTTGCTGCTATGACATGGTCTGCATGCCCCAAGTGTTGCTCCTACAGCAGCATTGTAGTGTTCTTGTGCCTGGCTACTGCTGCAACACCAGGGCCATGGTGCTGCTTTTGCTTTCGGGGTGTGGATTTGTGTGGGAAGCACCATTCCAGTGCTCCTTCTAAGTCATTGCCTGGAGCTGGTGCTCTGCTCACCTCCATCCCAAATTATGTTATTGGGGGAGGTTATAGGCAAACTGCTGTGGAACAAATGGAACTCAGATCTTAATATCAGCTTTCTACTTTCAAATGTTACAGGCAGTATAGTGTAGAAGGAAGTGAGCATGTGACTCTCTCCCAGCCTATTCTCCGTGCCCTGGGAATATCCCAGCTAGGACTGAGAAGGGAATGCTCTTTCCAGGACCAACTCTCTTCCTAAATCTGTTACCAGAGTGTTCTATATCTCTGTATAGATAAGTAGGAGGGAGCCACTGAATGTGAACCGCATCAAACCATCAGTATAATGAGGCACGTGACAAAGATCCTATTAAAGCTGACGATGAGAGCTAGAAGTAGAATAAGCCCGCGGATTGCAAAAGTTCAATGTGGTTTTATTGAAGATCAAGGTACAAGAATTGCTATCTTCATGGTATGAATGCTTTCAGAGATGGCAGTAGAAATGGGGAAAGACCTTTTCTTGTGTTTTATTGATTATACCAAAGCTTTTGATAGAGTCAAGCATGAGGAGTTAATGAGAATGCTGGAAGAATTGAATATTGATGGCAAAGACTTGAGAATTTTAAGAAACCTCTATTGGGACCAAATTGAAGCAGTGAAGATAGAAAATGAACTAAGTGATTTCATTCAAATTAAGAGAGGTGTGAGACAAGGCTGTGTCTTTTCACCTGACCTGTTTAACTTTTACAGTGAGAAAATACTGAGGGAGATTGAGGATTTACCAGGGCTGATCATTGGCGGACAGAATTTGAACAACTTGTGTTATGCTGATGACACAGTCTTAATAGCTGATTCAGAAGAGAAGCTGCAGGAAATTTTAGAAAATATTGTTAGTAAGAAGAAGGGTCTCAGTATCACCTGTAGAAAAACAGAATGCATGGTAATTACAAAGAAGAAGATCATTCTTGTATGCAACAACAAAGTAGATAAGGAACAGATAAGGCAGATCAATAAATTTAACTATTTGGGAAGCTGGACAATATCAGATGGTAAATGTGATCATGAAATAAAACAGAGAATAGGGATGGCAAAAGATGCATTTCTGAAAATGAAAAAGATATTGACAAATAGTAAAATTTCTTGGGGACGAAGCCAAGAGTTTTGGATTGCATACATCAGGGGGTGCACATATCATCAGAAAGAGACAGATGGAGTTTCTCAGACATGTTAGGAGGAAAAAGGAAATAGAAAGTTTGGTCAGAATTGGAAAGATTGAAGGAAGGAGAGATCACAGAAGACAGAGGTTGACTTATGTCAGGAGTCTATCTAAATGGATGAATGTATTAATACTGGAAACATGGGCAACTGATGCCACCTTAGTCAGGGGGGGCACGACCCCCCCAGCGACCAGTCAGTGATGGGGGGGGGGAGGGGAGGTCCCCCACGGCTGATTGCACCAATTCAGAAGCAGCCACAGCACTCCCAGAAGTGGGCGCAGCGCTTCATCTGGCGCTCGCACTCTCTGGCTGACGCTTGCAGGGGGGGCTAAGCAGGGTGCGTGGCCTGTCAGGGGGTGCACCAGCGCTCTCAGGGGGTGCATGTGCACCCCCATACACCCCATATGGGTCACCACTGACTGGAAATTCTGTATGTCTAAAAGAGAAGAGGTTTGTGGAAGACCATGGTCACCAATGTCCTGTTTGGATCTGGTACCTAGAGAGAGAGAGAGAATAGATATGGTGCCAGTAGATGGTGCTCAAGAACCAATTCCTGGGTGCACTGTAAATAGTTTTCTTTAGCAGACCCTCAAGTGAGTCCTAACAAACTCTTTTTTCTAGGTTCTTTTGCAAAATTCATTTCTAAGAATCTATAGGATAAAAAGGGATTAAGAAAAAGCCAGCATAATTTTGTCAAAAGCAGGTCATGCCTAATCAACTTGATTGCCTTCTATAACAGGGTGCTGAGCTTTATGGATAGGAAGAACAGGAGATATGATATACCTTGACTTCAATAAGGGTTTTTTACACCATTGGTCATGATATTCTCATATGTAAATGTGGCAGGGCACCTTTGATGTCTGCCACTTTAAGAGCAGCAAACAGGCAGCAGCTAGGTGCCTGATCAGCGCAGCCATTTTGGCCCAGGGATATAAGCTGGGCTGCAGTTTGCTACAGGAAGGAGGAAACATCAGGCTGAAAAGCTGCTCTGGCCAGAGTCAGGAGGTAAGGGCAGAGGCTAAGGGGAGGAGGTGACCCCTTGTCCTGGGAAAGATGTAAAACTGTACCCTGCTGGGGAAGGGTGGTCTGGAGGGGCTTCTAGTGGCGTGGGAGCCCCCAGGAAATGCCACGCCCGTTACCTCCCTGGTGAAAGGTGGGTCGGGGAGCCTTAATAACCCCAGCCCCACATCCCTGGTGGTCTTTTAGTGAGCAGGGGGAGCCCAGGGCCCTTGGTTAAGAAGCTCTGTGGCAGAGCTCAGGCTGGAGGAGGGACCTGGGGCCACACCCAGGCAGCAGAGGAAAGCCTGAGGGCACGAATGAGACCCTGAGTGAGAGAGGCGACGATTAGTGAGACCCTCTGTGAGAGGGGCGATGAACAGAGTGGCCTGTGAGTGTAGGTGAGTGAGGAGGCCCAGTGGGGTCATAGTGGTCTGGTGAGGGGCTAGGAGTGAAATAGGCCTACAGTCGTACAAGCACTCAGTCAACGCTCAGGTGAGGGTAGCAGGAGATACCCAACAGACTGCATTGGGGCTGACCGAGGCAAGGAGAGCTAAGTCTGAAGCCGGGTGGCATAAGCGTGGCCCCTGAGAGAGGGAAGTATGAAAGAGGCTGGGTGAGAGCCAGTGGAGTGAGTGAGACCCCGGTGAGAGAGTGGTAGTGTGTGAATGGCCCTCCTGGGCTGTAGAAAAGAGCTACCACTGTGTGCCCAGTTAGCTCCGGCCATAGGCCAGAGAAGTAACATCAGAGTAACATCTGTGAAGCATGGGACCCATGGAGGGGAGGTTGGAGTGGGTATTAGGCCTTTGTCAGCAGGACGAGTAATGAGTAGCTTCCCACCTTAGTAACAACTCTCATATTTTTTCATCAAGGCGCGGCAGGAGAGTAAGTGGGTGGTTACCTGAGGAGCAGGGCGGCCAGCGAAGACTTGATGATGAGGCCACCCTGTTACAATAAACTAAGAAAGTAAGGTGCACGACTGTAACTCATTGGGTGCCTCTACACATGCAGAACAATCAATTCTGGTGCTTATTGCACCAAAATTTATTGCTGCTGGGAGTTGTATATACACATGCATCCAGGACTACAGCATGTTGAGCCAGGTCGGAGCAGCCCCAGTGGGCAGGGGGCCTGGGGCTGCTCCAACCCAGATAAATGTGCTGTGGAAGGGGTTGGCTAGGGCATGAGAGTGCTTCAATGCAACACTAGGCAGGCAGCTTCTTCACTGAAGCACCCTTGTGCCTCAGCCAGTCATGTCAGTGTCTACACATGTGGCTATAGAGTAAAAAAAAAATCCCCATCAAGAAAGTACTTGTTTTTACAAGGACTATGCTGCTGCAGAGTTTATTAGTTTATTCCAGCCTAATAGGGCTGCATGCGTAGATGTGAGACATTTACTGCAGAGCTAATTACTCTTCTCCATAGTAGATGTCTCATGTATATGCAACCATTGTATTCAAAGTATAGTTATCTGTGGCTCAATATGTAACTGGTAGAAAGTATTAAGTAGGTTTTCTCAAAGAACTGACCTAGGTTCAATTCTGTTCAATATCATCATTAATGATGTGAGGAATAGGGCTGAGTGCATGTTAAGTAAATCTGCAGATGACATCAGACACAGTGGTGTAGCAGACAATTTGGAGGATAGGATTAGCCTTCAGAATGACCTTGATCAGTTGGACAAATGGATTGAAATAAATCAGATGAAACTCAGTAAGAACAAATGCAAAGTGCTACAGTCAGGAATAAACAATACAAATGCAATAATACAAAATGGGGAACAACTGGCTAAGCTTCAGTACTGCAGAAAAGGATTTGGGGGTGGAGGGAGGAGAAGTAATAGTGCAC